GAGTTAACATCTAGTATCACCCTGTCACCTCCAGCTCTTGCCTTCCACGTAAACAGTTTGTTTCTTTTGTTTTAAACACAACGATTCCTCTAACAATGGACAGTACACTGCTTCACAGCAGTGAGAGGGGACATTGCTGAGCAGGAGGGAGACAGAGATGGAAGGAACAAATGGTGGGGCAGGAGGTAAGGAGGGGGAGGTGGAAGGGAAAGATGGGGACAGACAGAGAAAGGGAGACAGGAAGGAGAGAGCTAGTGAGAAGCAGGAACGAGAGAAAGAGGGAGGGAGTGAGGAAGGGGGAGAGAGAGAGGGACAGAGAGAGAGACAGGAAGGTGAGAAAGAGGGAGGTGGGAAGGTGAGAGATGGAGGGGGAAAGAGAGGTAGAGGGGGTGGCGAGAGAAGGGCAAGCAAGAGAGAAGGGGGGGAGAGAGGAGAGGAGAGAGAGAGACAGAGGAGAGAGAGATAGGGAAGAGACAGAGGAGAAAGAGAAATAGAAAGAGGGGAGAAGAGATAAGAGAGGGTGAGAAAGATAGAATGAGGGGAGAGAGAGCAAGAGAGTGAGAGAGAGAATGGATGAAAGAGAGAGATAGATAGGAGAGAGAGGGTGAGAGAGACAGAATGAGGGGAGAGAGAGAGAGTGAGTGAGAGAGAAAGAGAGAGAGGATGGGGGAGAGAGAATGGGAAGAGAGAGAGAGAAGAGACAGAGAGAGAGGAGAGAGAGGAGAGAGAGAGGAGGAAACACAAGTTTGACAATGACTACCAAGGGAGAGAAGGGCTTGGCACTAATTCAGGTTAAAGGTCATACTTTGTTTCACTTTGCTGCAAATGAAAGCAAGTTTAAAAACAATCCACAGTGAACATGATTATGCTCCGAGTTTGAGTCCGACCCTGTTGAAAGCATTATCTTGGATTGCTCTTCCTCAGTTTTGACAATCTCCCAGGGGAAAGAGAGAATAGAACCCACCCCTGTCCTATTTCAGAAACTGTTTCCTGAATGAATCTGGTCCCTGGGTTTGATCACCCTCTCTGAAAATTCATTCCAGTGGATCATCACCTCATTGTCTCCTGCCACCTATGTTAAATGTTACCAGCATAAAACCATGCCCTCTGCAGCTTACTGTAATTACAAGTGCTCTCTCAGGTTAAGCTTCTCTCTTCTGTTGAGTATTTAACAAAACCTCCGTCTCCTAACCATTGCCCAAAATATCACTGACGGCAGTTTAAGAAGCTGTGTCCTCAGAACCCACATCAAAGATCTTTCCCCACTGCTCACCAGAGACCTGGGGTTGTTGCTGAAGCTAATGGATTTGGTTAGAGTCCAGGCACTTGCCAAGTGTTGCATTTCACCTTTAGTGTCCTGTGATGTTGTTATAGATGCAGTGCTAGCTACTCAGTGCTATGTTGGACTGTAGAAAGCTTTGGAGCTAAAATAGCATCCAGCAGCAAATTATCAAGGACTCATCTCTTGGCACCAACAGCAAATGCCCCAAAACCGTTTGTTCCAGTGTGAGATCACACCCAGTTTGAGTCAGATGGTCCGAGATGAATACAGACTTCCACAGTGTACAGGCTGCACTCCCAGGGTCAAGGACAACATGACCAGCTCTGTCCGTTCCTAAGCCCAGCATCATGGGTCACTGTGCTCCCTCACAGGAAGCTCCTCCATTGACTCCTCTCAGGAGATGTGGTCTGGTGAATGCATCCAAGCAGCTACAAGGGGCTGAGACTCTGAAACAACAGGACTGGAGCCTGTTAGCTCAGTGCTTGACCAAAGTTCCAAACTTTTACTCTTGGGACAACACAGTGACTAGCACCACTGCCTCACAGTCCCAGGCACCTGGGTTCGATTCCACCCTCAGGCGACTGTCTGTGTGGAGTTTGCACATTCTCCCTGTGTCTGCGCGGGTTTCCTCCGGGTGCTCCGGTTTCCTCCCACAGTGCAAAGATGTGCAGGTTAGGTGCATTGACCATGGGAAACTGCCCGATAGTGTCCAGGGATGTGCAGGCTAGGTGGGTTAGCCATGGGAAAATGCAGGGTTACAGGGTGTGGGTCGAGGTGGAATGGTCTTTGAAGGGTTGGTGTGGACTGGACGGGTCTAATGGCCTGCTTCCACGCTGTATTGATTCCATAATTTGGCTCCCGTGGCACAAACATTACCAAAATAAAATGAGACGGGGAGCTTTTCAGCACATTTACTGTCTTCAAAGTCAACCAAATGTTCCTGACAAACGAAGCAGACCATTTCTTAAACGAGACTGCTTCACCATCAGTCTTTCGGGGGTGGAAACAGTCAGGCAGGGATGGTAATATCCTAGTGGTATTATCACTAGATCATTACTCCAGAGACCCGGCTAATGTTCCGGGGACCTGGGTTCGAATCCTGCCATGGCAGATGGTGAAGTTTAAATTCAATAAAAATATGGAATCAAAACCTATTAATGAGCATAAAACCATCGTCGACATGGAGAATAGAGTGGTGGCGGTTTAGTGGCAATGTCAGAGGGATAGTAATCCCAGCCTAATGTTCTGTGAACATCAGTTCAAATCCCACCACGGTCAATGGTGAAATTTGAATTCAATAAAAAAGTATTAAAGTGTAGTCTAATGATGACTGTGAATTTGCTGCTGACTGTCAGGAAAAACCCATCTGGTTCACTAACATCGTTTATTGAAGGAAACTGCCGTCCTTACCTGATCTGGCCTACAAGTGACTCCAAACCCACAGCAAAGAGGCTGATTCGTAACTGCCCTCTGGTCAATAAGGGATGGACAATAAATACTGGCCTAGCTAGCAACTCCCAAATCTTGTGAACAAACACAGAAAAAGTAATTTGCAATTCAGAATTGAAGGTTAAAGTTTAGTCGGGCTGGGAGGGAATCTCTCTCTGCTCTTTTCCTAACAGATCTGTGGAGAACTAAGCTGCAAGAAATTCATCATTGTAATGTCTCATTAACCAAATGACATGTCAGACATTGGCTGTCCTTAATACTGCAGCATCAGCTTCGAACGCTCAAGCCTTGCATGGAAGACTTCAACCAATAATTTGACAACCGACAACTTGAGTAAACTGAGGTGATTGTCGCTCACTGAGATACAGCTGCGCTTCAACACTCTTGTGACAGGACAGTTTGGAGGGAGGGCCCAGAAAGCAGCTGGCATCCACAATGAAACAAACTCTTCAGAGGCCAGCATCCCATCACCAACCACCCTTTCTTTACAAATGCATATATAGTCTTTGACAATAGCACTGCCTCTCATCAAGTCTGGCATTCAGGGGCCCCAATATCCCTTTATGAGATTCATCCTTTTATGTCAGCCAGGGCTCCCTGATTGGACTAGATTAACAGCCCCAGTCCGGAAACTCATATTCTATGAGGTCCAGCTGGCTGACCTCGTTACAATCTCTACAAGTAGGATGTTCAGGAGACAAGAGAGTCAGGAATGGACGGGAGGGAGAAAAGAGTTACAATTCAGGGTGATAAAAAAATCTGCACTTAACTAAATTTGATTTGCATTTCTGGCACAATTTAATATAAAATGCAGGAAGTTGCAGACTGTGCGTATCAGAGCAATATATTGCCGAGTGGTGGAATGCATCAGAAATGCTACTGATTAAGCTCTTCTGTAACAAGAGAGAAGTGTCCATTAACACTTTGCATTTTTATTTGGTCAGCAAAGAAAGACAAAAGAAATGAGAAGATTAATGTCATTTCCATTTTCAAACATTTTCAACACCTCATCGATCGCAATAAATTGTCAGTGGTTGTCCTGCAGAAAATGGCAAATGGGTGATAATCAGCTTGCTTAAGTCGCATCAAGGCAGGAAAGAGAAGCTGGGTCAATCTCCTGTGTGCAGGAAGATCCCACACACACCCACAGGCTTCCTCACTCACCCACAAACTAAAATTCTGTCCATTTCAGCAGGCACAATAATAAAGAAGCATGTTATCTTAATGGTGAGGGGTTGCTCTGAGATGCAGAGGGATCTGGATGCTCCAGTACATGAATCACATAAGGTTAATGTACAGGTACAACAAGTAATCTGCAGAGCTAATAAAATGTCCTTGCTTATTGTAGGGAAAGTAAGAAGGTTACGTTTCACTTGTGGAGGGTATTGGTGAGACCACATCTGGAATACTGAGCACAGTACTGGTCTCCTTATGTCAAGAGGGATTGGAGGTAGTTCAGATTAAGGTTTGTTGGACTAATACCTGGAATGGATGAGTTCTTGCATGAGCACAGGTTGGACAATCCAGGCTTGTACTCACTGGGGTTTACAACAGGAAGACATTATATGATTGAAATATATAAAATCTCAGGAGTCTTGACAAGATGGATTTGGAGAGGACTTTTCCACTTAAGGGAGAATCTAGAAATAAGGGCCTCTATTGGAATATTGTGAAGGCAGAGATGGGGAGATGATGGCCTAATGGTATTATTGATAGATTATTAATCCAGAAACTCAGCTAATATTCTGGGGACCTGGGTTCAAATCCCACCATGGCAGATGATAGAATTTGAATTCAATAGAAAAAAAGTATCAGGGATTAAGAGTCCAATGATGACCATGAATCCATTGTTGATTGTCAGGACGATAGCATCTGGTTCACTAATGTCCTTTAGGGAAGGAAATCTGCCATCCTTACCTGGTCTGGCCTACATGTGACTTCAGACCCACAGCAATGTGGTTGACTCTTAACTGTCCCCTGGGCAATTAGGGATGGGCAATAAATGACGGCCTAGCCAGCGATGCCCTCATCCTGTGAGTGATTTTTTAAAAAGCGACGGAGTGATAGATTAGTAGGAATACTTGGGATTTAGATTAGATATTACTTTCAGATCAGACATGATCTTAAAGAATGGGGGAGCTGGCTCCAGGGACCATGGAAGAATAGAAAAAAAAACTGTGAGTTGACCACTGTCTGACTCCCATTCCCAGACAGTTTCCAGACCTTGACAGCATTAGTTCCAGGGACTGACGAGGAGCGATCTACTTACACATTATGCAGGACGCACCAGCCGCAGTGTGGATCACGGGAGCCCAGGCACAGCTCGCAGCTCTCGTACTGCTCACAGCTCTCCACCGGCACCCAGCTCACCTGTCCGAGCAAGAAACACGCACCATTAGCACCAAGACTGCCATCACCACAACACGCCCTCACATGGTCAAGGTTGAGACACCCTGTCACAGGGCAGGCCGGATGCCAAGGCAGTGCACTGAGCAGGGCTACAGGATGTGTACTCTACAACACTCTTCCCCATTCAATAACCACTCCCGCACTCCACAGCCAATTTCCCCATTAATCATCCAGTCTCCACATGATAGCTGTAACACTAATGGCAGATGAAGTCACAGCGATTGTATTGAACAGTATCACAGTCAATATAGAAAGCTATTTGGTGAACTTCCGCAGAAGAAGCCTGTTAATGCATCGATCAATTTAATAACTCACCCTGGTCCCATACCAAGATGGGGAGGAGGTTCTCCAACCAGGGGGTGATGTCTCTGTGGAACCCAAGTCAGTGAGCGTATTTAAGACAAAAAAAGATAGGTTCTTGATGGGTAAGGGAATCAAGGGTTACCAGCGGGAAGGCTGAAGAATGGGGTTGCGAAACATATCAGTCATGAAAGAATGGTGGAGCAGACTCGATGGCCTAATTCTGACTCCTATATCTTATGGTCTTATACCACAAACTACCAGTCCATTTAGTCTTGATCCAGGACCAAGATGCATCGTAATCTAATTCACTAGATCCCCAGCCACTTCCACAATTATCTCCTTCCTTTTCCAAAAGCAATATGTCCCTTGGGTGACTGTCTGTGTGGCACGTTCTCCCTCTGTCTGCATGGATATCCTGTGGGTGCTCCGGTTTCCTCCCACACCCCAAAGATGTGCCGGTTAGGGTGGATTGGCAGTGCTAAATTGCCAATGGTGTCCGGGGATGTGCAAGCTAGGTGGGTTAGCCATGGGAAATGTAGGGTTACAGGGACAGAGTGGGGTGGGACGGCAGTGTGGATCTGGGTGGGATACAGCACAGGAGGAGGCAATTTGCGTGTTGGTGCCTCTGCCAATTCCAACAAACCCACACTTGGTGCTCCTTCTGGGCAGCTCTGCTAATGCTTTGAAAGTTCCTGTTGAACCCACAGCCGCTGCCCTGGCATTTTCCAAAATCACAACAAACTCACTGTGATCACAAAATGAGTCCTCATGTGCTCTCTGGTCCCTTAATGTGCCTCTTCGAGATACTGACCTTGCTGCTACAGTGAGCAGTCTCTCCTGCTTGATTTTGTGGAAAATTGTTCATCAATTCTTTGAACCTTCTCTTGTCTAAGGAGAAAAATCACAGCTTCTCCCTCATCGCCCTAATAACACGCTATCCAGGCACTGCACTGAGTCCTGACTCTCTAGCTAACTCGGCGATCCTTATCTGGGAATCATTAACTAACTCAGCAATAGAATGTTTACGGTTCCTCAGAATTATCATCGCTCACCCCTGAGGGCCATGAAATTTCCCTTCAAAAACAGTCCCTTGTAACAGCAAGTGTTGCTGTCGAGTCCTGCTGTTTTATTATTACTCATCCCGCGCAAATGACTGAACAACTTCAAAAAGTAACCTCTGCAAGCCTGCCTTGCCTTTGCACGGCCGATTAGCTTATGGCTGAGGCAATTATTGGCACAAGGAGGGTTTGTTGGCAGTGACTTGAGCCAAGCTATAGGCTGGCAGCACAGAACTGGCACCAAATCCTGAGCTGTCACGACGTCTCTGTGCCCTCATCCAACCACTGCCACACGTATCACCATTGCAGGCACCAATCCGAAACCAGTGAGGCTGCGGGAGAGAAACTGCACTCCCTTCTGACCCCTTCCACAGCCAATCAGAAAGCCTACGGTCTTGACTTTCTGCGTGTTTCCCCTCAAGATGGGTTGCTCACTCAGTGAAGGGATCAGGGCAAAAAACATCGCCCTTGCCATCATCTTCACCTTTTACCCGAATGTGTAACATCCTTGGTTAATGGGACCAGGGATCAGTGGGGGTTCTGCTCGCTACCCTTTGGAAGGTCACAACTGTAGGTGTCCAAGGAGTTTGTGATGCTGTCACAGTTGATTGTACCATTGAGAAGACACTCTCACTGTCTTAGGGCAGGCCCATTACCACCTTTGTCCCAAAACAATTGCCAGACTGGAGGTTTGAAGCTCAGCCCACTTGTCAATCCCACCAGAATCCTGCCCCTTAGCTCATAGAGTCCCTACAGTGTAGAAACAGGCCCTTCAGCCCATCAAGTCCACACCGACCCTCATAGCATCCCACCCAGACCCACCTAATCCACTTATCCCTGAACACTATGGGCAATTTAGCATGGCCAATCCACCTTAACCTGCACATCTTTGGACTGTGGAAGGAAACCAGAGCACCCGGAGGAAACCCACGCAGACACAGGGAGAATGTACAAACTCCACACAGACAGTCACCTGAGGCTGGAATCGAACCCAGGACCCTGGCGCTGTGAGGTAGCAGTGCTAACTACTGAGCCACCATGGCTCTGCTACTACATTCACCCTCCCCCCAAGGAACACCCTTAAAGAAAGAATGTCAGTGCACTATGAGAGGCCTGATGCACTCCTCAAGTGATGGGGAACACAGCACAGGAAGTCCAACTTGTGTTCTGATATTATTGGGAAGGTTCATTTTCCTTCATGTTGCATTGTATTTTTTCTTGGCGAGTCCCATTATATTTCCCGTATCATGTCATGCCCATGTTGGGCTGTGGTTTTCCTTTTCAGATCCTGCCTCTGTTTCACCAATATTTTACCTTTCTAGTTTCCTGCAAACTAATTTGAAGATCGCTGACTCTAAAACTAACCAACCTGCATGGAGATGTGGTTACAGGCCTCCACACCAGGTAGGACCTGAACCTATATCTCTTGGTCTGGAGATAGAGGCACTACCAGTGCGTAATAAGCATTGTGTAAAAAAAAATCCACAACTTTGTACTCAAAGACAATAAGGTGGTGTGTTCGAATTCACCACTTTCTCATCCAGAAACTTGAACACACGGACAAACAGGTTCAAGAACAGCTTCTTCCCTGCCGTTATTAGGCTGCTGAATGGACCTCTCTAATTTCAAATCTAATGTTGATCTTGCTTTGTGCACCTCCTGTGCAGCTGTAACCTTGCATGCCTCACTCTGTCTAAACACCCAATGATCTGTATGAGATAACAAGGTGTAGAGCTGGATGAACACAGCAGGCCAGGCAGCATCAGAGGAGCAGGTAAGCTGATGTTTCGGGTCTGGACCCTTCTTCAGAAATGAGGGAGGGGAAGGGTCCTACTATCTCTGAGTGAGTTTTAACCCCACTGCGAAGCCTCTTCTAAGGATGCCTACCTCAAAGAAGTTACCCTCCTCCCTATTTCACAGTCCCCTTCCCCTCCCCAACTTCTGAAGAAGGATCCAGGCCCGAAACATCAGCTTTCCTGCTCCTCTGATGCTGCCTGGCCTGCTGCGTTCATCCAGCTCTACACCTTGTTATCTCAGACTCCAGCATCAGCAGTTCCTACTATCTCCGATGATCTGTATGTCCTTGTTTGTTACGGTCTGCCTGTATTGCTCGGAAAACAAAACTTTTCTCTGTATTTAGGTACATGTGACTACAATAAATCAAATCAAATCCAATCTGCCCCAGTTTTACTTCATTGAATATCCTTTAAAACATCTAAGGGCAGTAACTCAGGATCCTGAAGAAGGATAATGCCCGAAATGTTGACTGCTCCTTTCCTGCAGATGCTGACTAGCCTGCTGTGTTCTTCCAGCCTCCTGTTTGTCTACCTTGGATTCCAGCATCTGCAGTGTTTTTGTCTCTGTCTAAGTAACTCAGGGTCATTTGATTAATGTTTTAATGAATTAACTGATTAAAAAAAGTTGATTTTTCACAAATTATTAAGACTTGTTAATCACTGCATCAATCCATGTGAAGTTATCTGATTCATATTCATCATTAAACTTTGACCCCAGGATGCAAGGCTAAGGCCTTGGTGTAGACCCCAGCAACAGAAGCTGGCAAAATTTGGATTTAGTGTCTACAAATCTGGAATTGAAAGCTAGCCTCATTGACAGTGATCATTAAACTATCATCAGTTGGGGTAAAAATCCACCTACGTTTGCTAAAGTCCTCTCAGGTGAGAAATCTACCATCCTTACCTGGTCTGACCTGCATGTGACTCCAGACCCACAACAATGTGGTCGAACCACCTTCTGCAGTGACCTGGTAGGCTACTCAAATTCAAGGTTTAATCAGGGGGTGGACAATAAATGCTGGCCTTGCCCAGACACCCACATCCCACAAAAGAATAAAGAAACAAATATTGAAAATGTGATTCAGAAATAGTAGGAACTGCCGATGCTGGAGAATCTGAGATAACAAAGTGTAGAGCTGGATGAACACAGCAGGCTAAGCAGCATCAGAGGAGCAGGAAAGCTGACGTTTCGGCTCTACACCTTGTTATCTCTAATATTGAAAATGTGCCTTCCAACAAAACAATACACAGCAGATTTGCCAGGTATGGTGAAGCACGGTGATAAATTTAAACATTAAAATAAACTTAAAAGGCATTCAGAAGATGTCCACTAAGGCTCCTGTACTCAAAGGACCAAGTGTTGTTTTTGATATATCTAATCAACCTGTTCAGAACAAGTGACACTTGAAACCTGCCTCAGACCACTGCTCCACAAGAGCCTAAAGACACACAAATGAATTCAATGAGTGAAAATGAATGGGATAGTATGGTTCATTTTAGGGGCTGGATCATCTAAAACACAGAGGTAGATGAATCAGTCCCTAAAATGAACCATACTGTCCTAAGTATGGGACAATAGTGCACAATAGTGTTTCTGTAGTGCACTAGTTATCATGTTTTCCTCACAGATGAAAGGTCCTTGGTTTAAATACTAGGTAGAAACAGCACTCCTGCCTCATTACCTGGGCAAGGTTCATTGTCCCCACTTTTGCTTTTGGGTGGCACAGCGGCTCAGTGGTTAGCACTGCCGCCTCACAGCACCAGGGACCCAGGTTCAATTCCACCATCGGGTGACTGTCTGTCGAGTTTGCACATTCTCCCTGTGTCTGCGTGGATTTCCTCCGGTTGCTCTGGTTTCGTTGCACAGTCCAAAGATGTTAGGGTGGATTGGCCATGGGAAATTGTGCAGGTTAGGTGGATTAAGCCATGGGAAATACTAGGGTAAGGGAGAGTGGATCTGAGTGGGATGCTCGTCAGAGGGTCAGTGTGGACTCGATGGGTTGAATAGTCTGCTTCCACACTGCGCAATTCTATGATTCCAATAGCATACTGGAAGTTGATCTGTGCTTGAGATAACTGCGATCCCTTGCCTCGGTTCCACCAGATCTGGGTGACGGATCCCAACATACACCAATATAATCAATCAACAAGCCAGTGCCACTAACTAGCTCGGTCTGGGGGATCTGTGAGCCTTATTGTGCCATTATAACCAGCCCTCTCCACTTCCCAGGCCGCCACATCATCTCTTTCGCAAACCTTCCCTCAGCAGCTCAGCTGCCTGTCACATTTGGCCAGGAGGCAGCGAGAGAGAATCTGAGCCTGCTGACTATCTCAGCACTGGAGCTACCTTCATCAATCAAACACATCAATCAGGGCCACTTAAACAGATAGCAGCTTTAACGGACAGAGGTTCAGTGTCAGAGACTGGCAAACAGCAGTCAGATTGGCAAGAATACTGTCCTAACCTTCAGCTGTCTGTGTGTAAAGGGAAAGGGAGGAAGATTTATGGAACTTGTAAAAAGACATTTCAAAAAAAAGGCAGCAAAATATCTTGGGCACTAATCAAATATTTTATTTTGATATAAAATCAGCAGCCAGACAGTTTAATACGCTAACAAAATGCTGCTGTTAGCTCACTGGAGTGGTCTGAAGCAGAGCTCAACCCTTAAAGCAGTGGAGTGCCTTCAGAAGCAATATATTAGACAGCAGCAAGTTTGTTTTCCACAGAAGAATATTGTACAATGGGCAGTGACTGTGTTACTTCACAGCAAACCAAACTAATTTTCAATAAATAATGTGCATTTATAAGGAGCCTTTAACAGGACAGCTATTGGGCTATGTGGGGAGATATTGAGATCAAATCACCAAAGATTAGGTCAGAACACTGAGTGGAAATTGAAAGGATGAAGGGGAAATTGTGAACAAGTGGGGTGAGGTTTAAGGGAATTGCTGAATTTGGAGCACCAATGATGGAGCAAATCACAGAATTATTATAGAGTAGGAGGAGGACATTTGGTCCATCCTGGTTAGGCCACCTCCCTGCATGAGCATCTCATTGAGTGCTATTCTCCTGTCCTCATAACCCTGCACCTTGTTCCTTTTCATATAACCAAACTCCCGCTTGAGTGAACCTGCCTCCGCTACACCCTCAGTCCCTGCACTCCTGACCCTGACCACTCACTGCGTACACAAGTCTTTTCTTACCATCTTTTGCCAGTTGCCTCTCGCTCCTTGTGTGAACAGTTTCTCCCTGACCACTCTGTTCAGAGGCTGATGATTTCGAACGCGGTGATCAGATCTCCTCTCAGATTTCTCTCCCCCAAGGAAAACAGTCTGAACATCTCAAATCTGTCCTCATTACTGAAGTTCCTCATCCATGAAACCATCTTCATAAACCTCTTCTGCACTCTCTCCAACAAATCCACTCCCTTCCTATAGCACAGTACCCTGAACTGTACCCAATATTCCAGTTGAGGCTGAACTAGTGTCTTATAAAAGTTCAACGTACCCTGATGTCCTGGTCATCTATGCCCCTATTAGTAAAGCACAGAATAGGGTAATCTTTATTAAAATTAAAACTGAGGGTATGCAAGATGTCAGAATCCGAGGAGAATGAAGATCTCAGGGCGGTATGTGACAATGTCATGGAGGGGTTTGAAAACAATTTTGAAATTGAGACACTGCTTGAATAGGAACCAGTGCAGATCAGCAAGACCCTGGGGTCACTGCTGATGGGTCAACAGGACTTGGTGAGGGTCAGGAGATGAGCTGCAGTCTTTTGGATTATCTCAAATATGCCAAAGATTTCAATACCTCATGGGCAGATGAAGCAAGTTAAAATACTTTTCTTCAAACGTTTGTGATGCAGTGGTAGTGCCCCTACCTCTGGCCTAGGAAGCCAGGGTTCAAGTCCCACCTGCCCCAGAGGTGTTACAGAACATTCCTGAATAGGTTGATCAGAAATACCTAGCGACCAATAACTCATTCCCATGACCCATTTGCTCAGTTAGTTTCTTCACTGCAGCTTCCTCCCGTTAATCTATTAAGATTATTGCCTCTATCAGTTTTCAGCCTGTAACCCATTCCAGGGTATCTATTGCCTTATTTCACACAGTGCGTGCTGGACTATTTGATTAAATCCCAACATGTAACTCACTCCCGGGTATCTGTTATTCTGGATGTAATACCAATTCCCAATCCCAATTAGATTCCCAGCTGCAATTCAAGCCCTGGTACCTGGTAGTTTATGCACTGACCTCCCCATAACTGGAAAGGAGCCAGTGTAGTGATAATATCACTGGACTACAAATCCAGAATGCTAGAGAATTTCCTGAGGACAGGGGTTTGAATCCGCCTGAGATAGTGAAATATGAATTCAATCAAAGCTTGGAATTAAAAAAAAATGCTGCTCAAATGACAACTGTGTTGGCTGTTGTGAAAAACCATCCATTTGCTAATACCCTGCTCTGCTTTGGCCTACATGTGACTCCAGACCTAGTAATGTGGTTAACTGCCCTCTGTAACGGGTTAGCCAATTCAAGGGGAGACTAAGGTTTTGTGCGAGGGAAATCGTGTCTCACAAACTTGGTTGAGTTTTTTTGAGGAAGTAACCAAAAAGATTAATGAGGGCAGAGCTTCAGGCATTGTTTACATGGATTTTAGTAAACCCTCAGACAAGGTTCTGCAATGGTAGATTAACTGGTAAAGTTAGATCACATGGAATTATGACAACAAATGCCAGCTTTTCCAGCGACAGTCTCATACAAGAATGAAGGGAAAAAATGGACTAGATTCCAGTCTATACACATCTCTCAGGAATTTCGTGATCTGAGAATCACTGTCTCAGATACTGGCGCTTCAGCGAGTGCCTCAATCCCTGCCTTTGGTTACACAGACAACAGAATGTTGCCCAAAAGAACTGCGGATGCTGTAAATCAGGAGCAAAAACAAAGTTGCTGGAAAAACTCAGCAGGTCTGGCAGCATCTGTGAAAGAGTAAACAGAGTTAACATTTCGGGTCTGGTGACCCTTCCTCAGAACTGAAAGTGAGTTCTGAGGAAGGGTCACCGGACCCAAAATGTTAACTTTGTTTTCTCCTTCACAGTTGCTGCCAGACCTACTGAGCTTTTCCAGCAACTTTGTTGTTGTGAACTGAATGTCGACGTTCCTTCGGAGTTTCGTCTTTAGCTAAGATTGGAATAAAGGAGTCCAACAGCAGGATCGGCTCCTGCCTACACTTGGTCAACTGGCCAAGAGTGCCACTAAACCGCAACCCCTCACCCCTCCCCATTCTCACCCCGGGTGGGTCGTTTCAGCACCATGGCCAGCAGCTTTGGAGGAGATTCCAGCCAGTTGTTTGATCAGTGACCCCACTCCCACCCGCACAGCAGGTTCAGGAGAGGATACCCGCGCATCCTAGCTCTCTGAGCACCAAGCAGCAAGGCCGTGCTAGCAAAGTGCGCGCGGCTGCGACATACAAACACACGCCCCACAAATCTCCCTGTGGTTGTACAGTCCAGGCGCAAAGCATCAGCGGGTGCCGTGATACTGGACACCCCGAGTGAAACTGACGAGAAACGACTCTGGAGAGAAATAACTTCAATTACCCGTTTGTCGCTCATGGCGTAGATGTACTGGAAATCAGGGCTAAAGACTAAGTCCCGGAGTATGGGACTCCCCTCAGTGATCGCTACGTTTTCGTACAGCATCGGACCTGATGGGCCTGGACTGACAGAATCGACCAGAATCTGTAAAAAAACAAAACAAAAATAATGGGTCAGTGGCATGGTTTTCAGTCTTCCATCTGCAGAAAACAGCCTTACAGTGACGCTCACATCCCTCTCTGGCTAAACACATTCCTTGTCTGGGGCAGTGTATGCTGAAGGCAAGAGAGGGGAGATCGGGACAGGGCTATGTGAAGTCTAAATGCTTCCCATAAAATTAAAACAAGAGGAATAAATATTAAAGAGGGATTAAAAGCGAATCACCCATTTCTGCATTCTCCAGTGAGTTCCTATTGAGTTAAATAATCCACTTATCATCATGAAATCAACTTTTGAGTCTTTATAACTAAGTTGAACGTGACATGTTTGAGGACTAATGGGATAAGGAGTTGGGAATTTATTCACTAGATTGCCAGTTGACCACAGAATACTCTGATCCCATTTTTTAATTGAACTGACAATTATGATACTGGGTTGCATTTGGCAGTAATGTAATCCCCGATAATCTCAAATATAATCAAGCAACACACAATGCCCCTGCACCAAGAGCCAGGCTCAGTAAACTTCAAGCTCAGTTGTTGTTGGCAGCTGGCCAAGACACAGATCCAGTCACTCGATCACAAAGGGCCACATACTGCGACTGGTCACCCACTAAAGCAATCACTTTGCCTAGAAGGGGTCAAGGAAGCTACACCTCTCATTCTTCATCCCATAACCTATTCACACACGCGCAAGTGGTCATCAATCTCTCAGTTTCCCAGTTGACATCAGACTCAGAAATGAAACAGTGCCAGGGAGACCTACGGAACATCCCAGCCTCCCACTGTTACTTCAAGTGGATGTGAAAGATCCCACGGCAAAGCTACAGCATGCAAGTCCTCTCCAGTCTACCAGTCAATACTCCTCCCTGAACCCAACATTATTATCGCTCTGTAATATGAGTTGTAGCCACTGGGTTTGGGTGTGAGACAGACTGGTAGAGGAGAAGGCAAAATCAGGGTCTTCTCGCTTAGAATTCGCAGCAATATCATTTACTACACATTAATAGTAAGTACTGTTAGACACATTGTCGTAGGTACACCAGGCTCTGATCGAGAGTATTTATACCTCGTGATGTGCAGTTCTCGGATATCATCACAAGTTTGCTCCAGGGTCCCAATGCCCTTACACAACTGTCATGGATTTTGATTCACACAAACAGCTAAAGTTTGTGCCGCATTCTGCTTATTTTCTCCTCCTATAGTGAAAGCCAGACTGGGCAAGAGAGGGATAAAGGGCTTGTGTGGGACAGAGAGAGCCAGAGAGGGATAGACAGAGGGTGCAAGGGAGGCAGGCAGAGAGAGAGAGGACAGAGGGTGAGAGAGGGATTGAGACCTTGTATGGGATAGAGTGAGAGAGCGAGAGAAGGACAGAGAGAGCGAGCGAGAGACAGACAGAATGAGGGAGGGACAGAGAATAAGAGAGGGATTGAGGGCTTGTGCGGGATAGAGAGAGAGAGCAAGAGAGGACAGACAGGGTGAGAGACAGACAGAGTGAGAAAGACAGACAGAGAGCAAAAGAGAGGGAGAGACAGGACAAGAAAGAGAGATAAACGCAGAGCAAGGGAGAGACAAACAGTGGGCTAAAGAGGGACAGAGAGTGAGAGAGACAGACAGACAGAGAGAATGGCTTTTGATCTAGGACAAAGCCACAGATCACGGCCATTGATCACCCTCCGAAACATACCCCCACCCCACAGGGCAGGTCTGGGGTCTGTGAGCTGAATGGTTTCATTCTGTCAAAGAGTGGTCCCAGGCACAGAACAAATGCAGGGGTCAGGGGTCACACACCAGGACATGGGCACCAGGGAAGAAGCTGGAGATCAGAAAGGGCAGACTGGGCTTTGTCCAATAATAAAATCCCTTCCCGAAACCTGTGCAGTATTTCCCAAAAACCGTGTAATATCTTTTGCCCCACAACAGGTACATTCTTTTCTTCTTGTTTGAAGTTCGGAGAACAGGTTAGGTGCTCAGTTTGGGGCACATCATAAATCCGAACACTTTCACTACAATACAATGTGAGGAGTTTATTACTGAGAGAATCTGGATTTTGGGAGCAGGGAACTTGCTTTGCACAGCAGTCTGAGTGAGCTCCCTACACAAACCGGCCCTCATTTCTCTAGGGCGCTGCCTGGAGTGGGCACATCCTGAACCAGAGGAAGATCAGCCCCATGTCATCATACACTGCCCCAAGAGCGGTGTAGGGAGGGAGAGGGACAGCCGGGTGCGAGGGGATTGGAGGGAGCGAGGGAGAGGGGGATTGTAGGGTGAAAGGGAAATGGAGGGAGAGAGGGACAGCAGGTTGTGAGGGGATTGGAGGGAGCGAGGAAGGGGGAGATGGTAGGGTGAGGGATTAGGAGGAAGGGAGAGAGAAGGAGATGGTAGGGTGAAAGGAAAATGGAGAGAGTGAGGCAGAGAGGGACAGCAGGGTGCAAGGGGATTGGAAGGAGTAAGGGTATTTTTCATAGATCATAGAATCCCTACAGTGTGGAAACAGGCCCTTCGGCCCAACCAGTCCACACCGAACCTCAAAGCATCCCACCCAGACCCACCCCGCTATAACCCACCTAATCTACACATCCCTGAACACTACGAGCAATTTAGCATGGCCAATCCACCTAGCATGCACATCTTTGGACTGTGGGAGGAAACCAGAGCACCCGGAGGAAACCCGTGCAGACACGGGGAGTGAGAGGTGTTCAGGATGTGTGCAGAATCGGGGTAGTGATGGAGGGTGCACAACAGAGTGTAAAGGGATTGGAGGTGAGGGAGAGACAGAAATTGGAAAGAAGTGGGAGTGTGGGGAGCTGCAGCAATGAGAAGCAGAGAGATAGAGAAAGAGGAGGTTGATGAGGATAGAGAAGGGGATAGAGAGTGAGAGAGTGAGGGGAAACAGGGTGAGGGAGGAAGGAGACACAGGGTGAAGGAGAAAGGAGACCCAGGATGAGGGAGAAAGGAGACACAGGGTGAGGGAGAAAGGAGACAC